ACTGATGGAAATGTTCAAAATGCACCTACCACCTGAATGGGGTTGGCCAAAGTGATATACACTGTCCGCCACTCGCGATGGAACACCCCATTTTAACGGTAAAACACATTAGGGGGCAAAATAGGCTCAAAAAATCCTTCAGATTCGTGATCAGGACTACTAACGTACAACGATTACACTTTTTTCCTGAAAAAATTTCAGTCCTGAAAAATGCGAATTTGTTTCACTTCTCATGAAAACACCCCCGTATCTTCCGTAATAATTGAAGTAGATTTTTTTTGGTTGTGACATGAAAACATGAACGAAATTGTTCAAGAGAAACTCGACTTTTGTTTTCACATAAATAATTTATTTTTTATTTTGTTGTCAGATAATATGGCCCGATAATATTTTCGTTCAGGATACCACACCACACATTAACTTTCTGAGATATTTGGTCTCAACAATTCACCACCCAATTTGGATTTTGTTCAGCCCAAAACCTCATGTTCTGGGAAGATACAACGCCATTCGTGGTAAAGGTAGCCTCATCACTGTATAAGGTATACTTTAAAAAATTCCTGTCATTGAGATAATTTCCCTGCATCCATAAACAATACTCCATACGGCGGATTTCATCTCCTCCGTGCAAAGTATGTAAAAATTTGGGTTTGAACGCATGCATTTTATGCCTCTTTAAACACCTCAATATTTTACTGCAGATCATATTGAGTTGAAGCGATAAGTTTCTCAAACTAATTCTAGGATCAGCTTGATGAGCCGCCAATATCGTATCGTATGATGTTTTACAATTTTTCTGTCCTTTGTTACTTGGCCGGTACTCACGAATAGATCATATATTTTATGGTAAAATGTTTCCCCAATATTTTGATAAAGGACCCCGCACATTTCTTATGAGAAATGGTTTGCCTTGAATTTTGCCGAAATTTTGATATGTTGTAGTTCTTGATGTGCTGATTGAAAGTGTCCACAGCCAAAGCTCAGAATTGTACAGTTTTCGAGATGTGAACCTTTGAATATAGATTTTTTCCATTTTTTTGCAGTTTTTGCTCATCAATCGAGAGCTTTCAATTCTGGTTGGGATAGAATTTGGATGTTCAGCAACCAGAATTAGTTTTACGAATAATCTTCTTCAGTTATAATAGATGCCGCCATCGATAATTTTTCATACACTGCTTCACACTATCTCGATAATCTGAGTATGTGGTGCTGTGACATTTTCCTCAGATAGGCTCAAAATGGATGATAGCATCTCACAGCATCTGTATCTTTTATACCTGAGAGTACTCTCCAGATAGAATGAAACGGTTCAGGTATTGGAAGCGAACTATTTTGCGCCGTAATATGTTTTATCCAAAAATGGGGTGTTCCATCGCGAGTGGCGGACAGTGTATATCATATTGGCCATTCAGGTGGTAGGTGCATTTTGAGCATTTCCATCAGTCCTGAGAGTTTGATCGTTCCACCTCGAATATTACGGAAGATACGGGGGTGTTTCCATAAGAAGTGAGACAAATTCGGATTTTTCAGTATAAATAAAACAGAACTTACCCTGATTTGGAATGTCCAACGATCAGAGCATTGAAAACATTCTCGTTAACAGACATCTGTTTCTCTCTCATATATTCCAGTATTTTGGTAGCCCCTTCAATATCACCATCTTGACAGTAACGAGCGATTAGCCTTTGATAAGTGACTCTATTAGGTTCTATGCCGTTGCTTTCCAGTTCGCTCAAAAAGTCTGTAGGGGAAAAAGGATGTTCGTTCTCTAAGTATACTCTGAGGAGAGCATTGTAATGTGAAACATCCATCGGGACACCAAGTTTCTTGAGGGTGTTCCATATCTCCTGAACCAATTTTGTTCTCGTGTCGGGCAACTCTTCGGGAACCAAGTTACCGCAACATCTTATCATCAACAGTGATTGCGAACTGGTAGCTGACCTCGCTAATCGAATTTCTTCCAAGACATCTTCAATGTCTCTTCTCGAAATTCTGCCCGATCTTCTAACATCATGATCGATTCTTCTTAAACTACTTTCTAAGTTATGGTCTACTAAAGTAGATTGTGTCGCAAAATTGCTGGAAGTAGAAACATAAATATTTGAAATGTAGATTAGTGCAGAAATATGTCAGAAGGGTAAAAAAAATAATAACAGTGGTATAAATGAATCCATAACTAGAATGCTTAACCTAGCAAACTAGAATAGTGTTATTATTGATTTACTTAATTCATCCATGTACTCTTTAAAAAATCAAGTGAAATATTAACCTACTATAAAGAACTTGCAGATTATCAATAATAATATTTATTCATCTTCAGAAACACAAAGTTCACAGATACATTACTTGAAAACATTTGAAATAGTCCAAAATGAAGACCATCATTTTTTTAATTTGTAAATTGAAATTCTAAAGTGGAATGAAAACAATAGGCAGACTGAAAATTTTGACTTAAGAAACTAATGAAGAGCAAATGATAGATTAACATTTCGGACAATCAATCAGAAAAAAATCTGAACTGATACTCAGAAAATCATTTCCATAACTAGTTTCACTAAAATCAACGGAAAACTTATATTACAGTTTTATATCATTTTTTGTTATATTACTAAAGGCACGACCAATATATATGTATCCAGGGGAATGTGTAGCAGCCAACGTGTTAATTTACATTATTTCTTTTGTCAGAAGTTCCCACACTTTATGCATATTGATGAAGAAGTAGAAAGCCAAAGTTTTTGTCAAATAATTATTTCTCAAAAAAAAATCTCCCTTTCAAGAAATAAGGAATTTTTTCATTAAATAGATGAGTTTCTACCAAATTTCGTGAGAAATAAATATTACTGGCAAAAATTGAAAAGAGAGGGTTTCAGATTTTGTGAAAAAATAGTTTCCACTTCAAGTTTGTAGACCTTTTTTTAATATTTTAACTTTTACATAAAAGTTTTTTTGATAAAGGGCTCAGTTTATGAGGAAATTGTTTGACATACAAATATTTGAAATAGTGTTGCATCACAGAATTGCCGGTTTCACCAATAATTATACCGACCTCGATAAAACTCCACAAACGCATTGTGAATTGTTAACAAAATTGCCATCGAATTCTCTGGGAGTATTCACAACAATACTTCTTGCGAAGCCAGCAATGTATCTAACAAATTTTGAAGTTCTTAAAATTGAAGACATGCTTCTTTTACGACAGTGACAATGATAGAACGACAGAAAAAGAGGTGATAAGGCAAATGACAAGTGACAACAAATGTCACTTCAGCTGCTTTTCTTTGGAAACTGAAAACTCACTCGAACAATTTAATTTACATACATGTTCATGTTATTCTGAACTTAATCTCAAATTTGTTGCATATTGCAAAATAGGTTTTCTTCAATGAAGAGCCAACCAAATTCAATAATTTATTGAATAATGAGAGAGTCAGCCTGAAATAGTTGAAATATTTCTCTGGATCACTAATTCTCATTTGAGACACAAGGTTGTAATATTCTCCATATTTTCTTCTGTTTTTGAAAATATTTCTCACACTATGAAGACGGGGTCTTCTCAATGAAGCTTTGTATATACGGTAAAGTTGATATAATTTGAACAACCTGATACATTCGTCCATTTCGGATTCAATTTCGATGTATAGGCTTAAAAAACGAGAGTCAAATGAAACAGCAATATAACCTGATTGTATGTTGACGTATAAAATTTTGAGGAGATCGCAAAAAAGTTAAATTTTTTCAACTTTTTTACGATAAACACGACGCTACTTTTTATGCGATGTTCGTTCCATGAACTAACCTTTAGCTACTATTGAAGTATTTGAACTTTTGTCAGTAATATCATTACTCTCATTAGAGCAACCCAAAAATTCTTAAAATACAACAAACAAACCTGCTATTCGATATTATCGGACGAAAGCCTGTTTGATGTCAATGAACTGATGTAAGATAGGTGTTTTTGTTAGTAATAATTCTGTTCGAGAGAGAATTATTATTCTCGTCAAAAGCAGGCAGCTACATCTTTCTGGCCAAAATTCCTTTCTTCGAACAACACACTATAGCACAGTTATCTAATAGCTTTTGAAGGTATATGCTAACAAAACGTACCAAATGCCTTCAAAAAATAAAGAAGAATATGAAGTGATGTCTATATGTCACAAATACGGGTTATTTTTTATGTTTAATGAATTTTGAAAATGTCTCTAAAATCTTCTGGAGAAGTAGATCCCATAAAAAATGAAAGAACTGGAAATGTTCGAGAAGTGGGTTCACAAGCTATCTGGAGTCTTTCCTCGTGTAAACCTGGTAAAATTATTGCTCAAAGTTTTTTATGCTTCTGTTCAGTAATTTTAAGGAGCTATCAGTTTTTTAAAACCATAAAAAAACCAAAGTTGTTTAATATATTTGAATTTACTCAAACATTTTCTTTCACTTAAATACTAGAGTGGATCTTGCATCAGTCTTATTTGTTGAACTGTTTGTAGCAATGGTTCAACTATTTTTATATAGTTGAATATGTTCGTAATCGAAAGAGGAAACTGAGTTGTGCGATGATATTCAAAACAGAGCTAACTAAAAATCAACTATTTCTGACACCATTCCCCTTGGATCTCTGATTCCCAATTCTACTAAATGCTTCACCAATATGACTGCAGCAACACATTTTGTTGGTTGATCAGGCCAAATTTTCTCATGATGGAACATATTTTAAAACAACTGTGTTTTGTTTTGTGACATTTAGGAATTTCTCAAAATTTGACTTCATTTGATCGCTAGATCCATTTCCTGGTATTCAACTATCCCAATGTTTTGTTATTCACCAAATAAAAAAAATGTTCATTTTGTTTTTCTTCTTTTCATGTAGCACTGAATGCAAATTTTAAAGTTGAAGCTTCTGGCTTTTCTAGCACATTAGAAAATTTGTCTTGTTTCTTCTTCTTGCTGCAGACAAAAGGACAATTTTTTCCAATATGACATATCTCCAGACATCTGTAGCAACTCAAATGTTCGTGTGAATAACTAGGTTTTGTTGTAGTATCTTCTCCATTTCGTTTCTAGCCTGCTTTGTTAAATGGCTTTCCACAACTAGGTTTAAAATGTTCCCTTTTATAATTCATCTGTATTTTTTGCGTTGCAAATGCTTCAACTTCATCCTTTTCTTTATGTCAAGTCAGCTTACTTTCGATTTGTCTTTCCTCTTTTAGCAACTTTGACTTCAAATTGCACATATTCAGGCCATTTTCATTGGCTCTCAGATTCCTTGACAAGTGCTCATATTGATCAGCTAAAACTAATAGTGTGAATTCTGCTTGAACTTTCTCGCTGAATTTGAATCCAGCTTTTTTAACTTCATGATATAAACCTGTTTCATCTATTTAGGTACTGATTGATCGTCTTGTCTGAGCTTTTCGTAGTATTGATATAATCTTTGAGCAACAGTAAGCCATGATACGTATCAAATTTAGTATGGATTGTCTTCAAAGTTTCCCATATGTTTTCAGCTGTTTTACATTGCACTATGTCATCAAGAATGTTATTATTCACCAATAGATAGAAAACTGATTTTGCACTGTGATCTTTATTCCAGTTTTCTTCAACTCTAAATTAATTTTTGTCAAAACCAGGATCAACAGATTGCCACAGATTTTTAACTTCCACAATTCTTTGTACACTCATTGACCAATATTGATAATTCATGGAATTCAGAGTGAAAGATACCAAATCCATATTTTAAAAATTGAGAGTTTTTGGAAATTTATACTTAGGTAAAGTTGTGCCTTAGCTCATTTTTTGAAAACCTACATTTTTGATTTCTTGCAATTTCATTGAACTGCCATTTTTTTTTTAAATTGTATCTTTTTCTATTAGGTTTTGGTGTGGATCAGCTGAGAGATGATAGAGCAGATACTTACTGGCAGTCAGATGGCCAACTTCCACATTTAGTAAATATTCAGTTTCAGAAGAAAACTACCATAAGTGATATTTATATTTATACAGACTACAAACTTGATGAAAGCTATACCCCTAGTAGAATTTCAATTAGAGTTGGAACACATTTCAACGATATTCAAGAAATAGAAGTCATCATGCTCACCGAACCATCAGGTAATTTATTTATGTATTATCATACATCACATTGACTGATACAGGTGATATACTACTCACAGCGATAAATTTTTATAATTTCCACAAATAAATGATACATTTCACAACAAGTATATAAATATATATATTTGAATACATATATCAAATCCATTGATACAGGAGCATGAATATAATTGAATGGGTAGGATGAATAGCATGAATATATTTTAATCTCGCCAGAGCCTTCCATTCAATTGATCATCACGTTTTCTTGAAAAAACTCCAAACAACTTGAAATTTCAATTTTAAACTCTAAATTACGACTTTAATTTGACTTTTATATCGAAATTTTCATCATGATCTAGACATTTCTACTTTAAACTCGAAATTTTTAATTTTAATCTTGAAATTTTGAGTTAAAAGTCGTATTTAATACCTACTTGAAATTTTATATATTGTTCTTCAAATTCGTTAATGCTTTTGAGCAAGTAGTATACTATAGTATAATATGAAAAATATACACAGTATGAAAAAAGTTATGGTATTCATAAACTTTTATAATAATATAGATTGTTAATTATAACAAAACATCAATCATTTCCTTACGAATTATTGCCAATATAGTTGAATGAAAATATCAAAACAAAGATGAATAACACAACCTAATAGAATGTTATATAATAAAATCCTTGAATTTCAATCTTGTACTGAGTTGAACCTCAAAACGATGAGCAGCCATAGTCCGTCGCGTATTTCTGATGTGTATCGTTTTTGGTAGAATCAAATGTGCCAAGTCACTTGAACACTTCCCGTGAAAGTATCTATAGAAGAGAGACAAATACCCAAACTTTTTTTGATGTTCCAGATTATCAAGGTTGCAAGTGCTGATCGCATCTCCAATCAGGCAAATGGCTCTTTTCTGGATAGAATCCAGCAGCTTCAGGCTATGTTTAGGAGCGGAGCTTCATACATGAGAACAATACTCCAAAGAAGGTCTGATCTCAGCTTTATAAGGCATCAAAAGTTGCTGAGGTGTGTACATTTTTCTGGTTCGGAACAGTGTTCCAAGCTTTTGAGAAGCAGCCTTTGCAAATCCAGCAACATGATTCTACCAAGACATATTGTTGTCCATTTTAACCATCAACAAACTTATCGAAGCTGAAAGCGGAATCGTCTGACCTGACATTATATCCTGTTCGGAGACATATCTTTCTGGAGAAAACCGATGCCTGGGTTTTTCTGGCATTGAATTGAACCTGGTTATTTTCACCCCAATTCAAAATTACTTCTAGATTCTCATTAAGAAATGTAACCTCCTGCTGCCGGTGAAGATTTGCATCTGCATCCAATGTCCTAGAACAGGGGTCTCAAAACTTTGAAGCCTTCGGGCCATAATGATTTTTTCAGTTTGTTCCAAGGGCCAATTTCTGCTCTTAACTATATTTCTAGACTAGGATAGTCGCAAAGTGCGTGACCTAAGCAAACTTACGCATTTTTTGCATTTCAATTATTGTCTATTGTGACACTTAACGACATCTAGTGGCGAGTAGTGGTACTATGTACAGCTACCCGCTAGGTGGCATTAGGCGTAATTAAATATTTGGAATTACCGCGTTGGTTCGAGAAAGTTCTGGTTCTAGCTAGTGTATTCCGATCACCTCGAGATGGCAGTAATAATTGCATATAAAAAGGCTAGCGGCGCAACTGCGAGTTAGTCTGCGTAGGAAAGGCGAAGGAAGCGAAACTGTCTATTGTGAAATAAAGTAACACCCGTCAATAAAAGTATTTCGATTTGACTTATTGTTTTTATGTGTGATTTGTTAGTATGGAAAAGAAGCGAAAAGTCGACGACAGTGAATGCAGAACGTTCCAAGAAAAATGGAACTTTCAGTATTTTGTGATCGAGTCCAGTAATAAGGCGCTATGTTTAATTTTTACTGAAACCATAGCTGTTTTCAAAGACTATAACATTAAACGACATGATGAATCGAAACATCTTCAAAGTTACTCCAAATATACAGGAAGTTTGCGGAAGGAAAAATTTGAAGCTTTTAAACGCGGACTCAAATCGCAGCAATCTTTGTTTACCAAAGCGAATACTGAACAAGAGTCTGCAACTCGCGCCAGCTTTCGTGTGGCTCTTGAAATCGGAAAACGTGGCAAACCATTCAACTGTCTGACAAAAATGGACATCATGAGTGGTTTTCTCTAGCATTGGATGAGTCAACGGATGTGTCGGATACTGCTCAGGTGTTGATTTTTATTCGCGGAGTAGATAAAAGCTATGAAGTGTATGAATAACTTCTTGATATTGATAGTATTCACGGCACGACAACTGGGGCAGATATTTTTAAGGGAGTTGAAAATACCATTAATAAAAAAAACCTTCGATGGAGAAATTTGAAATCTATAACAACCGATGGAGGCAAAAATATGTATGGTAAAAATAAAGGAGTGGTTGCACTTGTGTCAAAGGCTGTAGAAAATGATGATGGTTCAAAACCATTAGTCTTACATTGTATCATTCATCAACAGTCCTTGTGCGGAAAATGTTTGGATATGTCTGAAGTTCTAAAACCAGTTATATCAGTTGTTAACTTCATCAGATCCACTGGGCTGAATCTCCAACAATTCCGCGAGTTTATTCAACAGATTGGAGAAAATGATTTATCATATCATACTGCCGTACGCTGGCTTAGTTGCGGAAAAGTCCTTAAGCGCTTTTTTGAACTTCGAAATATCGAAATTTTTTTAAATGAGAAGCAGCGCCCTTTTGCCGATTTAGAAAATAGTAAATGGATGTGGAAGTTAGCCTTCTATGACAAATCATGTGAACGAACTGAATTTGAGATTGCAAGGAGAAAATCAGCTTCTCCACCAATATCAAATCCTTCAGGCAGAAAATAATACTATTTCAATCGCATTTACGTAAAAAATGTTTCACCCATTTTGAAACATGTGAATAATTCAGCCACACTACAGAGACTGTATTTTCCGTCAATTTTGCAATCGAAACTTTGAGTGCTTTGAAGATAAATTTTGATACTCTTTTTTCAGATTTTGATGTCATTGCGAATGAAATTAAGCTTTTTCAAAATCCTTTTGATTCTGACATTGAAACCCTGGCTCCGGAAGTCCAAATGGAAATTATTGATTTACGGTGCAGTGATATGCTTAAGAACAAAAATATCAAAATTAATCTTTGTTGGAATTTTATAAGAGTCTTCCACTGGAACAATTTGATGATTTGCATAAATTTGCTCGTGGGTTGTTTTATGTTTTTTGTACTACATACTTGTGTGATAAAACGTTTTCCAAGATGAAGTACACAAAGAATGTTTACATAATGTTTTGATAATCGGTACAATTCATTTCATTTATTTGTAAGTTATTAATATGCTCAAAGTTAGATACTTAAGTTAAGTTTTTTTTGTCATCATTTCTGTTGTTAACTTTTACCTTGCAAGTAAATAAAACCAAGTAATTATCATTCTGTGTTTTCTTCTTCAACTTATCACAGCAATAGTAACAACAATCAGGTAATCATTGGCTGTCGCGGGCCAGATTGATGACAGTAAATCATTGGCTGTCGCGGGCCGGATTGATGACACTGGCGGGCCGGATTGATGACATTGGCGGGCCGGATTTGGTCCGCGGGCCGTAGTTTGGAGACCCCTGTCCTAGAATCCAAATGGAATGTTGAGACAAGTGTGCTGTCGTCAGCAAAGCAATATATTGGATTCTTGTTTTTTTTCAAAAAGTCGTTGATTTACAATAAAAAGAGGGTTGAAGACAATATGGATCCCTGGGGAACACTAGAGTTGATTGTAAAAGTATTCGAGAGATATTCATCGACGGCCACTTGCAGGGAACATTCTTTCAGGAAGCTGAAGAGCTACACACAAAAATGATCCAACAAGCCATAGCATTGAAGTTTGGCCAGCAAAATCTCATGCCACACACGGTCAAAGGCCTTAGAAATATCAAGCGCAACAGCTCTTGACCCTCCATGTTTCTCCATTATTGTCACGATATATGTATGGTTCCTATATTCAGCACTTTCATTCCAAAACTATATATTATGTTTGCAAATCATCAAACACTCACTTGAAATATGTTTTTTCCTTAATATTTCATGAATTTATTACTGTTACGATATGTATATATTTCCTATATTCAACATTTTCATCTCAAAATTGTATACTATGTCCTGCAAGTGGGTCTAGTGCCTGTTTGGTTATTAAAAGTTTATTTTATTCAAAGTCGAAATTTTGAGATTTACGTTGAAATTTTGAAATCAAAGTTGATATTTCGACTTGTTGAGTCATAATTTCCACGAAACATATAATACAAACGTGTGGCCTTTCTGCACTTCCATAACATTCAAAAGAAAATGCTTATTTGCTTTGGTTGAAAATTATGACTTTTTTGCAGGTTGGGTACACATACCTATCAAGGATATAAGAGACAAACCCATCAGAGTATTCATGATACAAATTGCAGTGACAAGCAATCATCAGAATGGAAGAGACACACATATGAGGCAAATCAAAATTCACAGTCCGATTGAAAATTTGGGAATCCCCATTGAGAATTTTCTTAACTTCTCTACCATACAGTTTCAGCAGCATGCCACTATCAGATGAATTATGATAACTATAATTGTGGAAAATGCAAATGTTTCATTTAGAGTTGGAAGTTACAACAAATAAAACTCAGTCCTGTCAGAAAAACAATAGCAGTGGAATGTAATTTATTATATTTAAAAGTTAACATTATATTATTAAATATTCCACAATTCTCGTTATTGAAGAGTGTTCAGCTATTATGCCACATACATAATCTGTAATGAAAGTACTATTTCAACATCAGTAAAACGTTACAGAAAATGAAAAAAAAATCTTGTACAATTTCTCCACTAATATTTATAAAAATGTGACCGAGCAAATCTGAATAATAATTCCGGAAAAGTTACCCACTCGTCTTGAAGAAATCCTCTACATCTGAAACAACACTTCTGGTTTATGAGCATTAATGTACACTTAGATACAGTATATTCAAATCGTTGGATAGGTAGGGGAGGTACGGAACATTGGACTGTGTGATCCCAGGATGTGAATCCTCTAGATTTTTGCAATTGGGGTTTTCTTATGTCATAAGTTTATTCCATTTCCGTCAAAAATGTTGAAGACCTGAGGAATGGGATTATTGCTGGCTGTGCAACAATAAGAAATACACCAGGACTATTTGATCAGATACAGTAATCAATTAGGCGAAGAGTTGAATCTTGTATCATATGTGAGGGAGGTCATTATGAAAATTTATTGTAGCTTCGCGCCTATTTATTAGTTATTGTTATTTTCTGTTATTGTTCTGGTTTAATGCCATTTCATCAGATAATTCTTGATACTGTATTGAAGTAATGAGCAATACAAGTGGATATGTTTAATTTTTTGCATAAAAACGGCACCCCATACGAAAAAAAAAATGAGAGATTGTTTGACATAATTGAACGATGAATTTGAAAACGATTTTTTGTGTGAGTTACCTCAGTGGTGTACTACTTTTTTCTTTAAAAACATCGAGATCATTACCTGTATGCATGTCAATGATCATGAAATTTTTAATTGCATCTCAACAATTATGCAATAACTACCTCTTAACAGCCGCCAAATTTCATTTGCATATCTTAATTGATTTCAGAGTAGTACATAAATAGTAAATTTTTAACAACCCGTATTTCTGAAAACAAAACATTTGCTGACAAAAGTTATATAGCAAACTGTCATTATTTTTTCATGCAGTTTGTAGCATTTATTCACCAACAACTTGTATAGTTCAGAAGAGTCCAATTTTTTTTAACAAGAAAATTCATCATATTGGCACCATTGCCAATGTATATATAATAATATATAATATAATAATATACTGTCTGATTCACAACACGGATTTCGGAGAAACAAATCTATCGAGACAGCTTTGTATCACTTACTAAGCCACATACATGATGAAATAAACAAAAACAAGTGTGTTCTATCTTTATTTTTCGACTTATCCAAAGCCTTTGATATGGTGTGTCCCGAGTTTCTTAGCCGTAAACTTCAAGACATAGGTCTTCCGGGTAGTATTAGAAATTGGGTCTTATCTTTTGTGAGTGAGAGAAATATGATAGTCAAGTGTAACGGGACATCCTCTACAGCCAAAAACGTTGAACTTGGCGTACCTCAGGGCTCGGTACTGGGTCCACTACTGTTCCTCTTATATATCAATGACCTTCCCCAAAATATAGTAAATGCTCACCTAACAATGTTTGTTGATGATACTACCATAACTGTTTCTGGAAATAATGTTGAACAACTCATTAGACATCATAATCGATATATTCAGTGCATAGTGTCAAAGAAACAAACTTATTTTAAACACGAACAAGTCTGTATCGTTGAAGTTTCACTTTAGTAGAGATAACCCAGTAAATCCGATCATAAATGTCAATTTTGAAATGTTCCCTGAAAATTACTTCCGCCACTGGAAACAATTTCTTCTTTTGTATGGCTGGAGCTGCAATCTAACAAATATCTGTGCGCAAACCGAATCACTCATTGGATCGCTCAGGAATTTGTCACTATCGTGCTGTCATCTGTGCCTCACTAATTAGTAAAGTTCATCAGTTCGCAGGAGAGATGTCGAGCTCCGAGTCGATGCCGCAATCTCAGTTCCAAGAAAGTGGAATCCATGACAGATGCAAATGTCAATCTGATTATTCAACAAATAACTCTCAATCTCACTAGCACTATTGATACAAACTTTGCACAATTACAAGAAACACTCAATAGCACTGACAAACGTATAAAAATCAACTCTAATAAAATTCTAAAAATAGATCAAAGGGTTGATTTTCTCGAACAATACCCCAGAAGATGTAACCTTCGAATATATGGTCTTAATCTCAGGCCTGAACAGAATTTGGAAGAAACGCTTCATGAGTTTTTGACTAATAAACTTAAAATAAAAAACTCTACAACCTCTGATATTGAAAGCACATTCAAAATATCTGATAAGGTTGTGTTGGTGAAGTTTGCCACATACCAAATTTGGCAAGCAGTATTCAAAATGAAGAATACACTCAAAGGCTCCAAAATTACTATTAGAGAAGATTTGACTCCTTTCTGTCATAAAACCGCAATACTGGCTGGAAATAAAATATGGATATAAAAATGTATGGACCATTGACGGAAAGCTTCGTATCAAAGTTACATTATTCCCGAGCCAACCCTGGACTAACCTGTTTATTTATAGATAAAAACCGGTAATTGCTGACATTGCATTCTTCCCGAACTTTATCTCTTAATTGTTCACAACCATTGTTTGATGTTTACAACCTATAACATATCATAAGCATTTTAACCAAGACTTATCTTTTGATGATTATGAATTCTACCCGGGAATTATCTTGCATAGTAAGAACTTTTCCCGTAAATTATCTTTTTACCTTTACCAATGTCATAGTGTGTCTATATAAGCACATGAATTGTTATTGTACATAATTAGTTTGTGACCAGCTTTCTATTTGAATAAAGCACATAGTGAGGTCTGAATAACTTTTATTTGTGTGAAGTTCAATTAGTCAGAGTTATAAAACTAGTTCAACATTACTGGTGCTTCTACGAACCCCAGACTGCTGGAAGCACAA